GATATGTTTAGTAGCTTGATACGCTAAATACTACTATTAATAAGTGGTTTTCTAGACAAAACATTTTGGATTAAACCATGGTCAAGTACTTATTAAAGTTCTCATCATTTTTTTTCATGTTTAGGAAACTTACGTAATGACTTAACCAGTTTCCCTGCAGCATGCTTTTCAGTGTGATCATATAACCCATCTTTATTGGCAATATTCAAATTTTTTTTAATTTCTGACATTTAAGAATCAATAACCGTGAAGATATAGTACAGTGCGTTACTGTAAGGTTACTATGTCAGCCGCATTGATTCCACATACCTAATTTTAAACAACTTATAAGGGAACTGTTTAGTAATCATAACATTGAACTGACAATATGAATATCACGACTATGCTAACGTTAAACCAATTATTATTAGTGGTCCATACAAAGTCCTGGAACTTAACATTAGCGTTATAAAAAAGACATTTTATGTCAATAACTGATATATATATTCTTTGTTTTAAATATAACGTAAAATGGAAATTTACTAAACTTGTAGTTTTTTTTCTATAGTAATAATATTCATGTAAACAAAGAACTTTTACTTTTCCAATATGGCACTTTGATATATCAATCTGTCCTCTTGTCATTTTTTCTCTCATATGTGCGCGACTTACGGGCAACAAACATCGTATTGAAGGTGGGTCTGGTGAACAAAAACGCAGGCCCCATACGCACTCGAACCTCTGCCCTCCTGAATGCTAGACCGCGTGCTTAGCCGTTAAGCCACATCAGACCACGGAGGAAGTGACTTCAATATTTCCTTACACCAATTAATCACTCATAATACTAATGAGTAATAGGACTTACACACTTCTGAGGTGCAAACCAATTCGTTACTTGGATGAATTGACGATATATTGCTTCAATATATCATGCATACCTAAATCAAACAAGAAAAGGGTATTTGACACAACTGTGCTTGATCCGCATACTCTACACAATTTTTTTCGCTTCTTAACCGTATATTCTTTTCCGTTTTGTGGAGTATTCTGATGCACCCTTGGTTACGCACCTAGTTGTTAAACGCGGTCATCACAGGCTCAAGGTCATGCGTTTGATCGATTTTGTTAAAGAGTCCAACTTCTAGCAAGTTCACCCTTTTACATATATGCATTACAAAAGAGTATTTTTTTGTTTTCATGGTTTTTCGTGCACAAGATATCTACACTATGTCTATTCTCTTCCAGAATACCAATCCGTTCTGGAGACCAAGCACTTACATGGAACCGAACAATTATCAATTACATTTATGTATTTCCATTTTGTATCTTATTATTTTATGCAGGCAGTGGAGCAGTTCTTCAGGTTTGCTTGATTTTCACCATTACCTTTGAAGTAGATTCTTCTTTACTTTTTACTTGAGGGCGACTCAAGAGGCAGGTGAGTAAACACCTGATAGCCGGTCTGAGCATGGAAAAATCGTACCTCACCAACATGGTGTTGGGTAGCCCGCTCGCGGCACTTCCTCAGATATTCTTATTCCACATTCTCACACTCTTTCTCTTGAAAGCACGCAGTAAACCGTCAGCGATAGTTGTAGAATAGATCACATGCTACAAAATAAGATGACAAGCTAGTAAATGAGGAGACATCCATGGACTATCGTTGACAGCGTTAGTCGTCACTGATTGTAAGTCAAATAGTGAGCGAGTTGATAATTTTCCCTTGGGATGAGAAATAGAACTAAGGTGTTTTCGATAGTTAGGTTAATCGAACCGACGTTCCTACGGAAGTCGATTCTAGGGGGAAGCTAATGTAACAGCTCAGGTTGGTTGGTTAAGAGTTGACCCCAAACAACCAAGCTTATGCCAAAACAGTATTGTTCAAGTATTCATTCACTTCCTTATTTTTTATAAGCGTTATATTCCCTATTATCTTGAATGTTGAGAGCCTTTGTTTGTCTGAACAGATAATCCCACGCTCCACTGTGACTGCGCGAAGATCGAAATAAAGACCTATTCACTACTTGTCTGGTTTCTTCTATCAATAGCACGAGGGTTACCTTAAGGCACGAAAACCTTTCAAGGTAGCTGTCAAATCGTGAATGTGAGGCAACGGGTAACGATCGGGAATGGTTTTCGCGTTCAATCGCAGATAGTCACCAGTTGGACGCCAATCGTTGCTGTCCTTTTTAGGGACCATGTGCAACGGAGATGCATATGGGCTACTTGACGGTCGTACGATTCCTAAGTCTATCATGTGATCGAATTCGTTTTTCGCTAACCTTAGCTTTTCAGGAGCTAGTCGTCATGCTTGAGAGAAAACAGGTGGTCCTGTAGTCGTGATGTGATGTGCAACATTGCTGGTTACACACGGTAGTTTTGGTTGAGTTTGTTGTATCCCAGGGTACTTATCGAGTAGTGGTTGATAGAGTGGGTCTATCATATGTTTAACTGTGACTGGGGATACTCTACAACCAGTAAAAGAAGTTACGCAAACGGACAAATTAGTGTTTCCGTCTACTAGCCTCCGTTTGCGAGTGTCGATGATCAGATTGTGGTGTTGTAGAAGGTCCATACCAATGATTGGCATAGAAACATCTGCAACAACGAAAATCCAGTGAATGGGTTTGCGTAAACCCACGTTAAGGTAAACGTACCTTTTGCCATATGTAGCGATCGGTTTTCCGTTTGCCGCCTGTAAGTTGAGGGTCGATTCGTGGAGTCGGTCGTTAGGATTTGCTGGGAGAACGCTAACTTCTGCGCCAGTGTCGACGAGGTGGCGAACTCTCGTTGTCACATCTGTGACAAATAACAGACGGCTATGTTCGCCGGCTACGGTTGCCGTTAACGCGTGCCGGCTTGGAAGTCTCCCAAATAGCTTTTTAGATCAGTCGGTTTCGTGTTGGGAAAATTGCAGGGTTTTCTGCAATTTCTGGGAAGCTTTCCATACTGGTTATGATACCAGCACCAGTCGGGGTTATCTGTCTCTCGTGGTCTAGAGAGAGATCGCTTACGAGAAATACTTCTACGTGGTGTGCGCGATCTCTTACGGTCGGTACGAAGACTAAGATAACGCGTGAGTGTGTGACATAAGTCGTTTATATCATTCTGAGTCGTTTGAGGTTTTTCTTTGACTGAAAATACCTCGGTAGTAGATTTCGTAATTTCTAAAATGCGGTCGGCAGATGCAGCTAGCTCGTCTAAGGCGTTGTTCTGGAACGACACCAGAACTGCTTGCACCTGTTGGGGAAGTTTTGACAAGAAGAGTTGTTTGAATAGACCTTCGTCGAAAGTTCTTGGGCCTATTACCTCTCTCATCCGTTGCAACATGTCCGTCGCAGAACCAAGTTGCAGGTCGATGTTATTGAAGAGTTGATCTAACCTTTGTCGATCGGTTAGGTCTCCTCGTTTAAGAATCGAGCGTTTTAAGATTTCGTAAGGATCGGAAACATCACTAGTAAACATACTAGGTGTTACGTACCTGTTGAATTCGCGCGGTAGTGCCTTGACCACTGCGAGGAATTGTGCACGGGTGTCGATCACACCGTGCTCTTGGAAGTCGGCTTCTGCGTAGCAAAACCAGGCTTCGATGTTGTCGGGCCAGAAGGGCATCAGTTGAAACGAAGGTGGGGACAAGGTCTTAAGCTTGAGTAATTTAGGTGTCTGTTCAGTCATGAAGGAATATTAAGTACGATAATGAACGAGGGGAAAATATATATATGTCCAAGAAAAAAAACACGAAAAAAAATCACAATGTTTAAAAAAAAATAAAAAAATAAGGCAATGATATATAAAAATCCCAAAAAGGAACAGACTCACAGTTGCAATTAGGTGTTCCAGATCACGTCGGTCTCACCAATGAAGATGTCACAGGTATTCAGTGTTTGACAACGTTTTTACCAGTAACACCTTCTAATATATTTCGTTCCCACCCAGATAAAGCAAAAGGCAGAGTCGAGGAGATCGGAAGAGTATATTTGGCGATGACCAATATATCGGAATTCTCTGATCTATTCTGGCTAGCGATTGTGGTAGATATTGAGCACGGCGTTACCACACATGATCTGGTGCGCATGCATGACCGAGCGCCTTCAGCTAGATGAGTCCACCAAAACATATGGTCAGCATCCAATGTTGAAAACTTACAGAGCTATTTAGTTTGGGGATTAATTTACCGCTACACTGGTCTACCATATACTGAACGACGAGTTTGGAACTAAGATGTTCTGTCTTTTCCACTAGTCTAGGGCTTATCACCTAGGAGGACATTCTCAAAATGTTCAAACACCGAAATTAAATCGTTTACTTCTGGAATTTTATTTTCTCTCACTGAGTAATGCATTAATGAAATTCTCTGCCACATGTAATGTCACCATTTTCTGTTGGCAAATTAAAGGCGAGATTAGGTCTTTACGTTATTCCTAGGTGCAAGGGTTAACACAGTTGATTTACCTTCTCTCCAAAATAATGAAGACTGAAGGTTATGGAGTACATAGAGCATTGAACGCAGAATGCACACATACAAGTTCGACGTTACTTACAACTTCTCGCACTATCAACTTGTTGTCCCCATTATCAGATTGTCTTAATCGCACGGTCGCGTTATTAATGATTGTTGTCAATTGACTTCCTTATTAAATGTAAGTGCATTCTTTGTACATAATGAGTCGTCAGCTCAATTTTATCCTGTTATTTTCTCGGTGAGACTATAACTTATAGACGAACCAATCATATTTAAAGTAACAGGAGTTGGATTTTGGCGCGAAACTCACTTATTCATCTAGCTAGATAGCATTTTGGCATTCTAGCTGGTGTTTATAACAATCCTCCAACACAAGAAACCTTCAGGCTAAACGTAAGCATGCACAAGGCTGAACAGTACACTTCTAGCAGGTGCACTGTCTTCGTTTTGTTTTCAGAAAAGAGATCATATTTGATGTTATCTATCTGCGCGATGTATTAAAAATTATATGTTTATGTGGCTTGCTAGACGAAATAAACGTGTTGGGTTTCTAGGGCTAAGCAGCAGTGCGTTAACCTTACTCATTATTGTATATGCAGTTTTATTGGATTAAAAAAGGATCTACTACATAGAATTCTGCTCTGCATCACTTTACAAACATGAAACATGATTGATGAAGCACGAGGAAATGCTTGGGTCCTAAGTGCTTCGGTACATATGGTATTCTAAGGGCACTACTTGTGTATGATGAGAATGTTATATGACCAATGCTAATCACCCGACCTTACTCCGTCCACTGTGCTCACCCACTTTTTAGAGCAGTCAGGTATAGTTCCGTGTGACTCGTCAATCACTACTTGTTTATTGGAAAGAATTATGCTTTGGGTGTGGCGAAAATGAAGAACTTAACTTGTTTAATATGCAACCCGGAATTGGTGATTCGTAAACATCCAAATAGGACTTCGAAACGACACGCTCTATAAAACTGGTCAGGTATAAGTTTAGGTTAAGAATATGTCGGCCAAGTATACAGTGTCTTTCAGACCCTACATTTCAAGTGTACTTTCTGTCACTTGACACTTCGTTTTTCTCTTCCCCTTAACATTAATTTGTTTGTTGTGCGGTAGAGTAGGATAGTGGTACAAATTAACATGCTACTATGGTCAACAAGGGATTTCGAAAATATCTAATAGGCTTTAAATGATGAAGTATTTTATTTATGTGGACTGAGTTACTATGTTCATCCTAATTTTTTAAGCTCTTGTCTCAATTTTATTAATTTTTCGTGTGCTTTTGGCTCCATTTCTGTTTGTTATTTGGTTCTTTCGATTGCAATGAATTTCATTTTGTCCTACATCAGCTGTAAAGTTGCAGCTTAAATATTACCCGGATATCGTTTTACTCATTTGTATGTTATATTACTCTCGAACGTCAATAATGCTCCTCCAGGTTTGTCAACCATCCTCTTTTGAAGGTATTTATGAGTAACAGATCAGATTCAGCCTCTTATTATCCACAATTCTTAAGCCCTTCGATGTATGTGGATGTCTAGATACATCAATGTGTACAATATGGATTCACCTAATATTTTTCTGATGGTGGAATTCGGCTGTTGCTGAAGAGCGTCGTCTGGAATTCACGGTGTCGTCGATTTTGACTGCAACTATGACCTGTCTTTGCGCTTCACTACTAATTCTCACTAATCCCTTCAGTACTTGACACTATAAAAATACATACCGACCAAACACTCATAGATGATTTAGGTGACTGTTCTGATTTTATGTTTAAGCTTTTGTTTTGTACTAGCGGGAGTCTTGAATGCTCCGGTCAGGCGTCTAGGCACAGAAGAGAGTCGTTTAGGTGGGCGATGGGGACTTGTTGGTAGCAGGACAGATAACGGGGACCGTCTACTGCAACTGTGCACACCAATCTCTTCGTTATTGTTCTATCTTTTTTTGACGCTCCTTACCCTTTTTTCCTTTTCTTTAAATTCTCATTGTTTTGTGCGGCGCATATTTTGACGCACTGCTGTACCAATATTTATGTGTTCAAATAAATAAATAAATAAATTAGGGTTTTTCATATATAATGGTATCTCATTTGGCTAAATCCTTCATTCACTGACCGTATTGAAGCTGTGTTTTAATTACTCTCATTCGTGCTTAAATATTTTATCCCGTTTCCCTGTAATCGTTGTTACTTTTTATCTTATATATGGGATGTTGTGATATGATTTCTTAAGCTATCGGAGTTTAGTTTTGAAGCTGTAGTTTCTGTATGCATCTTAGTAATTCTGTGGAAATATATTGTGATTCATGTACGATGTATAGATATGTTCAGTTGTGATCTGGATTGTAGTTCCTACCTGATGCCTGGTAGTATTTTACGGTGAACATTCCCGTATTTCAGAATCATATTGCTCCACGGTTAACGCAAAATGCCTTTTTCCAGCTCGTTGAAACTGTTTAATTAGTACCACTGACTAAGTTCGGTATGAAACTAATGGGCCTCCTAGTACTCTGTGGTTGATTATGAGCTAGCTATTGAAAATAAGTATAAAATGGATCACAAAACAGCTGTATTTTCAATCATTCCCTTCTTGATCAGTTGTATTTTATTGCTTACTAATTTTATCAGGTTTTGCATGCACTTCGTGTAACCTTTTAATGTTGCCTCTAGCTTGTTGACCCTTTTGGTTTTTATAGTGAAATGACATCTTTAAGTGACATATTGTTACCGTGGGATCACACAGAGCAACCGAATGACTTGTTTTTAACTTTCCGGAACTCTGACGACTGTATTGTATGTTTATTATCGTTGAGTAAAGTTATTTCTCAAGGTTCATGTACCTATCGCAACATCGAATGTTAATAGCTTGAGGAGCAGCTCAGATTCAGTTATTTTGTCTGAACTGAATAAACAAATGGATGCAAGACTTGTGAGCAAAGGTATTGTTTCATCTATTTTCTAAATTTTCCCAGCTCAGGAATATGGCCCTTTATTGCTTCCGGGGTCAATATTTTATGTAGGCAGTAATCCTCGTGTAAGTTTTATTGTAATTGTTTCATACTGTTAACTTACTTGTCTAATTAGGTGTAGTTGTACTAGGAACTTTCGTAGAAGTAGTTATGTTTTCATTTTACATATGACTTCAATAATGAAACTGTAATCGTATTTCCGTAACGTTCCTAAGAGTTTATTTTTATTTTATGTGGTTTCATTCGACTTTATTTGATTCGCAACAACTTTCGTGTCTGGCCTTATATAGTTCTTATTTTAGTTTGCTCTGTGCGATCACTGATTTCGGCATGTATATCCTATCACTCAGTTTGTCAATCCACTCTCTCATGGGTCGTTCTTCGGAGCGTTACATGCTGCAAACACCTCACAAATTAAGGTTTACAAACCGTATTTTTTTATTTTTTCGATGCCATTACGGAATTTCATCGACAAACGTAACCACATATGTGTCAAAGTCAATAATGGCAGTCAGAGAATCAAGGCGAGAACTATGTTACACCAAATATATAAGTTCCCACAAACACACATGCGTAGTGAGCACCTTTAATGTGAAGACAGGCTATTGAGAAAAGCACGATTTTAATGATGGAGTCGGTAGTTTGTTACGAATACGTGTAAATACCCATAAATTTCACATACAACAACAAGCTGACATCCTAGACCTTATTACATAAAATGATTAACAGTAACATAAGTTACTGAATAGTAGTAAGTAGTATACTATAATATGCAGAAGGAAACGTAATGGGAAGAAATAAAAATGGGGAAAAAGAGGAACTAATGTAATCTGGTTATTAAAATATAACTTTCGCTAATCTTCAGCCTCCAACTTATAACTGTAGTGATATGGTCACTCTACTATCAATAGTTAGTTTATAACTTCAATTATTCTGTTAGAGGATGGCATGACTAGAATTTTTTGTAGTAAACGGAGAATGGATTTCTTTCCTTTGCTAAGCCGTATTTTATTTGTAGTGATAGAAAAATTCAAAAATTCACGTAGTAGATTTTTCTTTTGAGTATATGTGCGATTGGAACTCTAATGACCGTATTTGTTAAGTATAGATTATGCGCGGTTGTTATTTGAAGCCATTGTTTCTAGTAAATTCCAGAAGTGGTGGCTTAATGGCTGAAAAATAGCTTTCAACATATGGATTAAAGGTTTGAACCTTTACTTGTTAAATGGATCATTTTATTGCTACATCTTGTATTCATAAGTTCTAATGCATAACCAGTAACTCAGGAGAATTGAATCAAACTTAAAAGACATGAAGAATTTCGTTTAGTGGTGTGTTGTAAACAGAACTAATACCACTGGTTTGCCAGACGAATGTATGACTTTGTATCATGTATCTAGTCATATGCATATATAATTAATCAGCAAAATATTTATAGTTTGTCCACCTGAGGCAATATTACATTTTCAATGTTGTATTGGCTTGAAGGTATGCAAAAAGAAGTAAAATATGTCACAATGTATATTTTACATGTTCCTCTACGTTTATTGAGAATCATAGCATGATCATATTCGTAGAAATTTGTTTACTACTTTATTTAGCCTCGTAGGAAAGTCAATTTGTATCATGAATCCTATGAAATTAGTTATGGTCAAAGAGGAAATTATGGAGAAAATCTCCACACAACTGAAAATACTGTCATTTCAAATGGTGGGTTTAATGACTTAGTTGAATTAGAAAAACTCTCTTCTACATTTACTGATAGGAGGATTGGAATGAGTAAGTTCCATTAGAATAAAAATATCTAAAACACAATTAAATTTTTGAAGTATTTTTTAAATAGATGTATCGGTCACTAAATGTCAACTTAAGGTAACAGTAAAATTCTATTATTTAAATCATCCAATACAAGGACGGTACACCGTAGGGAAAACACCAGTGTCATTTAATTTGGTTTTAAAAATATGAAGGTGATTGTCCGTAAACTGGACTTATTTTCGGTGTTTGTCAACCATTGCCTTCGACTTATTGTGATCTACAGGAAACTAATTATCCCATAGAAATAAAGAAGCGTAGTAGGACTTTGGGTCGTAGAACACTGAAAACATTTATCACACTGAAAATCAGCGCGTCCAGGGCCGCAAAAGAAGTAATCTATAGTTGTACTGAGACTCAAAATGAAAGTTAAATAAAACAAGTCATGATGCAGAAAAAAGCAATAACTAGTTATTTACACCAGGATAAACAATTAATATATTTGGAGTAGTTTGTTTGTCCTGAAATTGAGTTAAAACGTGAACCAGGACATCCACAATCCTTCACATGGATGAGTGTTTCACTTGTTTAAAATTATATCTTGGTCTAGCTACCATTGCTCAGTGCTTCGGGATATCTCAGTTGTTTTATGCGGGGTGTAAGTTATTGGTTCAAGGAGGACATCAGATGCAGCCTACCTAGTTACAATACATATATGAGATATTTAGATTAGCAAGTTGGTAGCACTGGCAAGTTGTAGTGGTCAACTTGATTGTCATCGCCGATTTGTGCACCAATATTATCACTCTGGATACTAATAAATATAATCGAACCCCAATTATAATTGTTTTGGAAATGAATCAGTTTTTCTTCCTCTGAATAGTATTATTTATTTACTTGGACACATAAACATTGGTACAAGGGGGCACCAAATACATATGCGCCACACAGTAACAGTGAAGTCAGTAGTAGTTATCATTGATTTATGTGAGGCCTGTAGTACTGCCCGGGTGTTCGAACCGGAGCACATGGTTTCATTAGGAGGCCATACTCGGAGCCTTTAACCTAAAGGTCTAATCCACAATGCAGTGGAGCAACGTCAGGAGACGTAGTCCCATGGTATTCGGTGACCAACGACAGGTTCATACTCCATTTGTTCCTTCAGGATCCTGGAGCCCATGTACACCATTGGTTTGGAACCAGGATTCACCAAATGCCCTAGGTGGATTCTTCATATCCACCAACGCAATGAGGGAGCCGGACATTCGGTTGTCACCTCAACTTATTGAGCAACACACCCGCCGCAAGAAGGCAGTGAGTAGGACTTTTCTGGCAGTGGTTGCATACCTGAGGCCATGTGAGAGCGAACTCTCCTCACTCTCGGCCGTATAAGGGCATCTGGGAGCCTTAAGTGTAAAGTCTACAAGTAGACCTGTGCTGTGTAAAGATAAGTCTATCTTTGAGCGATGTTACTTGTTGTAGCCGCTCTTTATAGTAGCTTTCTATGAGTGCTTTGTCCTGGACAACCATTAATACAAACTTTTCGATCGATGGAGCCCGTTACTATATTACATCGGAAAATGTGAAAAAAGTAAAGTACTGATAAGTGTCCTTTCTCCTTTGGGACTTGACAAGAAGTAAAAATTTGATTGCTCAATACCCAGTCAGTGCATTCTGGTTTTTCCGGGTTTATCTTATCTCTGAGGTCCATTCGGATGCATGCAGACTACTGATCGCATCATCTTGCTAAGCGCATTAGTTTACTTTCTATACATTATAATCATTAATAATAAGCAATACTCGGAGGATTACATTACTTTTAAACTAAGAAGTTCGAATGGCGTCTGGGAGCGAATCATGTTTCCTTTTCGTTTAAGACTAGGTTTAACTCTGTTAATATGGTTAAATTACACAGGTATATCCATTTTTTTAGATCTTTCGCAAACTGATGTTGCAAATTCACTTGGAAAACTTTACGGAGTACATCGTAGTGTATCCATGATTTCACGCTTCGAAAGAATGGATCTTAGTTTAAGCAATTACTTGAAAGTTTATCCGATTATTCTAAGATGGTTGAAGGATAGTGAAACTGCTGATGGTCGCGATAAAATTATTCGAGCTGTTGTTGATTTTCAGAATAATAATAATAGTAATGATAATAATGATACGAAATCACCAGTCAAAGAAAGTCCTCAGGTAACTGAATATTTTTCCTTAGAAATATAGCTGGCTTGTTAATTAGTTCGTACTTTCTACTTGTTTAACGTGATTATTGTTCTAGTCCTAAATGATTTGCTCTTGTTGGTATTCAAGACATTTATAAACAAAGTGTAGATGAGGTATTTAATTTAAATTGTTCATACCGCTATATTTTGCACTGTTTTTACCAGGCTAGTACGAATACGAACTAAAAAAAACCTTTTAATAGTATCCATCATTACTGAAAATGAGCATTCACGACGAAAAATCTCGCTAATGATTATCAAAGTCCTATTTCACAAATATGATTATCATTTAGTTTCACTACATGTTCCTTTGAAATCATAATGCTGACTACATTTTCTTAATGTAAAATAATGTTTTTGGTTATTAACTATGTTAAGTAATCCTTACCCTTGCTAACCAGAAGTGTACAACTGACGCACCATTTAATATAAACTCAAACATAATTTTAAAATGATATTTTCAACATCTAATTACTTCAAATTTTAAATACTCAGACTCTTTTACCTAAGAGACAGTTCTAAAATGAAGTGCTTGATATGACTATTACGCTGTTTATTGAGGGATTGGGGTATACTGCGACAATTTTTTCTGAAAATAATTTGCTGTTGGCTGATTATCACATTTGGACGTTTTACTAAGTTTGTTTCACCAGAAAACCAATCCTAGTCGTACGAAAATATGTAGAGCAGTGATCTAGTAAATGAAACACTCGACTTCCAAACATCAGGTCCAAACCCCACTACATTTCCTTCGGTTCGGAGAATTAGGTAGTGTTGCTAGTCCCCACATGAAAAATGTGAGTTAAAACCAAAACATAAACTTGTACTTAGCAAACAAACTACAAGATCACATATATTCGGTACAGAACAGACCAGTGTATTTTTATAATTTACTAGTCCTATTCACTTCACAAGCGTGCTTGCTCAGCACTCTGTCAAAGGTCATTACTAAAAAGTAATAAGATTTTATCTCACTCAGTTATAAACAACATAGGACCTAGCATTAATGTATATTGCAACACATTGCCACTCACACCGGCACAATAAGAGAACATCAGTAAAATGATAAGCAAATGATGGAAACTAATACCACACTCAATGCTAAGCTAACCGTGAAGTATCAAATTTGATAAAAGACTAAAAATGAGAAACGGAAAGCATGGAATAATACATCAACCGACATTACGTCCATTGGTTTTTTCTACAGAAATGTATAAATTCCACAAACAACTGCGATCGCAAATTTAAGTTAAATTTTCCGTAAATTGTAGTGACATAAGGCAAAATAACCACCTATTAATTTATTAGTTGTCTAGTAGTAGACAAATAAGTCAAAACTAGTTTATTGTTTCCTTTTACTTGTTGAAAGACTGGTTAATTTTAGGTGTAGTAAAAATCAATTCCAAGTTCGTGAGTAGTTTTTCTCGCTACCATTTTCTATGTCAAATATTTTTAATTATCTGTTTTAGGCTGAAAGTCCCGTTTTTTCGAAATTCCCAAAACGACGACGGAGAACAATACTACCTGATTCTACAAGAAGGGAGTTGGAGCGAATCTATAGACAAGTTTGTTTACACTTAGTCGTTAATTCGTTTCTCATAATTCTTATAATCCCCGCAACCGGATGGTAATTTACTGCTCCACAGTATATTTGTTTAGTTTGAACGTCTCAATTTCCTAAGACGTCGACTTGTTTGATCAAATAAGATAAAATTTTGGCAAGCTTTGCTGACATTATAAGGTGATCACTAAACTGTATTATTCGGGTGAAGTTATGGGCATAAATAATTATATCCTAGTCCTATTTTTAGAAGGAAAACCACCACTTACTATTGTTAAATATATCTCTGGATCAACCTCTGCTAACTTCTTTTATTTTGAAAATGCCGTGCTAATGTGTGATGAAGCAACCTAGGTCAAATCACACTTGGTATGAATAACTGAGTAAAATTTTCGACTCGTTAATTGATACCTATCAAGGCGATCACAAGATTACTCAAAGTTTGGTAACAATGGTAAAACCTTGCTAGAAACGATAACCGCAAGTTTCTTTTTTTGTAATTTACTTTTTTGCACGACTTCTGCCTTTTTGTGGTTGACTTCCGTCGCTTGTAGTTTGCTAAAGCTGTGTATGCATATTTTCGTTACTACATAATTTTGTTTTGTTCTGCGTCTTCTATTTCGAGTATAGAGTCTCTTCACAATTTATCTTCTTGTGTTAGCGGACAAGTGATGAAGTGTTATGTGCCAGTTTTTTGTTATCGATTTATACAGTAGAACCGGCGTTACTAGAGTAGATCGATCGTTCCTAATTCTGAAAGTACTGTAGGCCCTTACTGAACTTCAAATATCGAGACTGAAAATCTTACCACAGTTTATTTAACTTTGTAACCATTATTGTTACGATCAGTCAGCAACGTGTTATTTTTCAGTCTCGATAGAGAATCATGTTGTAACTTACAAAATTATGTTGCTGGTTTTTCTTTTGACAGAATAAAAAACTATCTGCACATGAATTGATAGAATTGGCTAAAGAATTAAATGTTGACAAAAAAATTATAAAAGTATGGTTCTACAATCGCCATACACGTAGTATTATTGATCGAAAAAGAAGATTGAAACGATCCAAAAGGAAATGTTAACATCAAAAACAGAAGACCCAATGTGTTGTACAGAACATTTTTGTGATAATTAAAAAAAGATAAATCTTTTTCACTCCTATGATAATCTCTAGTTTTCCAATGACTATGCTTAAAGTATGAGATTGTTATATAAAGTAATATGTATTTTTTCAGCATAGATTTATGTTAAGCCTGCTCCACAGAACTAGGATAAGTAAGGATTATTTCACGATGGTATAATTCAATTCGTTTCACAAGCTTATGATGGACGAAATTTGACTACTCTAGATTTAGTCTTTTAATGCCTTCTACTGCTACTACTGTTGAAAAGTATCTAATATCACTAACAAAATTGAATGGAAATGATTCGTCTTCACTAAATAAGGAAGAACGCAAAAACCAGAAAACCTGTCTTTTCTTTTAAATAAGAAGGCATTTTTAATCAACAAAACTGTACAATAATTTAGATGAAAACCAATTTGTTAACTGATAAAGTAAATTTACACTTTCATAAATAATTCAATGGTAACGTAATAAGAAAAATACAATAGCTGATTGATTAATTGATCATTGAATAAAATTAATATATCACCAGAAAGCACACCTGTATAACAAACATAACAATGAAATTTTCGTAAATATACTACTATGATTATGCACAGTATGGAACTACTTTAGACTATGTATATTGTATGGATTATAATTAATTTATGACAGATACCAGTTATAATGTTAATTGAAATGAAAAGCTACTTGACAACTCTTCATGCGTTTACTTGGCAGATCGATACTTATTCTGTATCGTTTATCACTAGATCCTTAGGAATATTTTCGAAATAAACAATATGATCAATTACACTTAGTTTTTATTGTGGTTGACATTCGAGTATTGTTCATTCATGTTAGTTATGAAAAATCTTAAGTTTAAATAATGAACTGATAGAAAAGGATTCCTTTACTGCGTGATATGTTCGAAAACACTGAGTGTCATTTAGTGGGAGAAACACCATAATGAGAAGTTGAGTATTGCGACAACACTCATCTCTGAATGCTTTTCTTTTCAAACACAAAATAATTTCATTTTCATGTCTTTTACATCTGTCATTCGCATGAATGGAAATTCGTTTATAGTTACATTCCCACTAATGTCCAAACAATCTTCTTAAACACTGATAGTTATAACAATTAGCTTATATCCCTACTCCTTTACAGGATTTCCGTAGCAGCATTAAAACCATAGTAGGGATGGATTTCATGTTTGGAAAGCAGTAATAATAATAATGTCGAAATTTCGATATGTCAGTAACGTAAGGGAAAGTTAATGATACCTTGAGCGTGAACAAGCAACGGGAATATAATCATGTGTATACTTATATATTGTTTATTCATTTAAACACGCAAACATTAGTACAAAGGGGAACCAAAACGTGTATGCGCCACACAAATCATTGAATTTATTTTTGTGCAGAAATACTGTCCAGGTGTCTAAACCGATTCAGGTAGTTTTCTGAAGGGGTCACTCCCCAAGCCTTTCAACAAGATGCTTTACAAATAAGGCAGTGGAGCAACGTTAGGAAATGCAGTTCTATGCTAGCGGGTAACCAAAAATAAGTCCATACGCCATTTGTCCCATCGGGTTCATGGAGCTCATTAGTACTACTAGTTTGGGACCAGGGTTTTCCAATTCTACCAACCCAGTTTAAGCTCGAGACATTCGTTTTTCTTCCTCTCAATTTCGTAAACAACACCCTCACCGTGAGAAGGCAGTGAATAGGAGTACAACACCACAGTAAATATTACTAATACATTGATACGATTGCACCAGTGACTGAAATGTCAATAATGAAAACTCCTACCAGTTGTTAAAATAATCCTAGTCATTGCCAAAACAAACAACTGTCATTCTAATTGGTGAACTATACAGTCGCTCAAGGACGGATAGAACACTTTTATAGTGTCACCAATACTGCATTTAAAAACAAAATAAAACATAACTATCTACTTACCAGCCTATATACATTTGGCATAAATTTTGATTTGAAGTTGCTTCACGTATAAGGAAGTCTACTTGAGCAGAAACACTCATCATTTGATCTCTTTCAGTGCCAGTCAGTTTTTGCCTAATTCTTTCCATTACAGAACGTGCACGTACATTTCCTAAAGTAACAGGCTGAGCTGAAAAAAAATAGAGAAAATATTGTTTAAAAATAGTTCCATTATACTTTTAGATTCTGTTAAAAGAAATAATAAAAACAAAATACGCGTTCTAGGTATTCAAGGTTCTGATGTACAATTGCTGTATGAAGACGGTAATGATATGAACTATCTTTCTGAATCTTGATTTTTTTTAATGGTTCGCTTATTAGCTAAAAGCCGAATGACTAAACTGATAGTTCGATCATTATTTTTTCCTTTTTGCAAAAAAAACTGACATTTTAGATAAATTTAATCAGTATTGATTTTTGGTGAAAAATTAGCTCTTTTAAAAAAATTTCCATATGAACAATTTCAAGACATACTAATGATGATCTCGATGAAAAAAATACTGATACCTGAGGTATGAAGTAAACTTACATTCTGAATCAATACATGAGTCTTCAGTGCTTGGAGGTTTTGCAGAAAATATAAACCCTTGTAGTCCTAAAAAAAATCAATCATATCGACATTATTGTATAAATCATATTTGACAATAAACTTTAATATGATGAGGTTTATATTATAACTAACAGACAGATACAATAAGCATCAGGTATTATTTGATGTAAAGTAGTGATCATTGTATTTACGATCCCCCTGTCAATATAGAGCAAAACATTCAGTAAATAAATTTGTTTATCAATAAGATCTCCTACAAATTCTGTACACACTATTACTATTTCTTTTTTGTTGATATAATTTTGTTCATTCTGAGTTAGATTTTGATTATTTATAATGAAAAAATGTTTGAATACTGATAATATATAATGTGACCAAGTTATGACTGTTCATGAGATCGAATTATTGATATGAGCCTCCAACTAAACGGGTATCAGAAGATAAGGCAGTTTTAGAATATATTTTCTAATCTATTTAGTAAAACTCCAAAATGTAAAAAGAATATTTTGGGAGAAAACTATTAGAATTAGTCTAAAATATAACCATATTGGTTACCTGTCCATAAAAAATATGAAAATCATTTTTATCGATTTTAAAGTTATGATACGTTTTATATTCCCTGCTTGAAAATTAGTTATTCCATTTTTGGGATAATTTTATTTAGTTAGTTTCGGTTCAACACTACTGAACATAACTGTCAAATTGAATTCAACCTCTTACAACTTAAGAATGATGTTGGTGGAGTTGAGTTCCGTGAGCAGGGTGATTTAGCCGTTGAACTTGTATTGCCTTTATAGATAGAATTATCACTACAAACTTCACATAGAAATGAGCTGTTAGAACATCTTCACAAACAAATAACAGCTTGTTTTATTGACATAGTGTTATCTAACAAAAACAGAATGAAAGCTTTACGACTCAGCAATTTAACTCAAAGAACGCAAATACGCCGAAATCATTCTCGTGAGCTACAAATTTAGACGTCAAATTATTAACAAACATGGATAACAAACTAGAAGAATAAATAAAACGTATTGTTTACATATAAGGATTTACGTGTTAAAGATACACTTTGACTAAAGTGACACAAAATTAAAATGAAACTAAAAGCTGTACCTATAGTTTTGAGTAAAAATTAAATTAATTCATTCAGCAGGTACCCGAGTATGAGCCACACTTTAAATGTGGGCTAATAATACTACAACCTGGTTACCTAAAGCAAAGTAGTGGGGTTGAAACTAAGTCACCACTCCATTAAGTTTTGGAAGGCGAAGATTAAAACCACAAGTTTTATGTCAGTTATCAGAATACATTAAGTTAAAGAAAGCGAAAGAATATGTATATAATGCTGTTTACATGAATACAAATGAACTCAAACAGAACTTACCATGACGTTCAACTACTATGTGACCGGATTCCATTTGCTTTCTTAAACGTTTAGCTAAGTAAAGATTAAAATAACAAATAAACGGAATAGTTGTCTACCAAAATATCTGAGGAAATGTATCTTTCTACATAAATTAACGTTTTAATACGGGTATTTTTTTTAACGTAAATCTTCATACACGTGTTGCATAATACACTGCGTAAATTTTCACCAGTTAAAAATTAGATGACTAGAACTCTGTAAACTGTTTATTCAAACATCTGATTTGAGTTCTTAATACTCGGAACGCATTAGCCTTTACTTTAATAGGGAAGAGGTAGAGTTTTCATACTTACCAAATAAATAAATTAAGGAATATAATTTACAACACCTACCAGTTTCATAACAACCAAACCAAGGTCCATTACACAAATGATGACGCCATTGATTCACCTTTTGTGGATCACGCAATGAAGCACTATCTGGATGATTTGGGTTAGTAAACACCTTGTTCGGTGAATTAGCTCTTCTATTCAAATTTTGCTGTTGATAATGTCCTTGTGAATTCTGTTGACCTGAAGTTAGATTATTACTTTTATCTGTTGGACGTCGAAGTGTATTTTGAACAGGATGATGCTAATATACAAAAATACAAAAAAATTACATTGAATTTCAAGTTACTGATAAATTCAAAGATATCAACAATGTTTTCAATAAAATGAAAGCAGCAAAGTGGTTAACAATAAACATTAAATAAGTGTTTAGTTTGCATGAATTAAATTTCATTTTTTACTACCTCTATTAAGTGACTAAAATCTGAGTTGTTTTAGTTTACTAGAGAAACAGTTAAATGATCAAATAAATCGACTTCCAACTATAACACAACTCAGAACAGGTGGAATAAACTACTAACACTAACCAGTAACTAGTATCATGATTGTTTAGCTTGTACTATTTGCTCAGTTTCACCGATCAAATAGCCATATGACAACTAGATAAAGTGATTGAACGTCGAGCCCACTATATTCTGATGTTGAACGGTTACAGGCAACCACAAGCC